AAATGTAGAATTTTTATAGACACCACTAAGATTAAGCATCCTAATGGGCCTTTAAATTATGTTGATAATAGTACCTAATCTGTGCTAAAAGAAGCCTACAAGTTATTCCTCTAACAAACCACCTGGCTTGCTCTGTGCTAAAAGCACATCGTGGCCCCAGTGACATGGAGTCTCTTTTGCATCATGTCTTATCAAGTTTCCTCAATTTTGTGACTGCAGCATTTTTCCCTACAAGACTTCAGTTTTCCATCATTTGCTTGTGTGGCCTTTGGCAACTTGCAGGTGTTTGTTTAGAAAGGAGAGGCATTTTCCAAGATGACACAATAGCCTGATGTTCTAAATCCTGGGAGCTTGACTCCTGCCTATTTCTAGGATACTTTATGTGATTGGCCATTACCCACCCTCTCTATCCCCGTTGCTGCCACCGCTGCCCGTGACTTTGCCATTGAAGGCTGCTGAGCGCTTTCCCCAAAGAGTAGCCCAAGCCATAGAAGGGCTGTGAGGTTCACCAGCGTTACTGTGTTACTTGTTGGCACCTTGGGAAATGGGTCGCCTGGGAGTTGAAATTAAGAACTGAAGAGAGGCTGGTAATTCGTTCATACCCTTATGAACGCCTGCTGTGAAAGCAGCATCCGACCCCTTACCCGTGCATTATGATCATCCATGCCATCAGAGCAGATTGAAGGGCGTCTATGGATTGGCCAGCTCCATCTTTATCCATACGTTTGACAAAAATACAAATGATTTCAATTATATCTATTCAGTGAGGGATTTTAAGGCATTATGCACTCAGATTTTAACTCAACTAATAGCTTTAGAGCATCACTATTCAATATGAATATATGCAAGCCACATTTGTCATTTAAAATGTTCTAATTGCCACATATAAAATGTAAGCTGTAACAGCTAAAATTCATTTTAATAATATATTTTCTTGGGTATGTATACATTGGGTTATAATGTATCTGAAATATAATCATTTCAACATGTAGCCAATATTTTTAAAACTTTAATGATATATTTTACCTTCACTTTTTTGTATAAGTCGTCTAAATCTGATGTGTTTTCATAGTCTGTCTCAATTGGATGCTAAATTTGATTCAGAAATGCTTGGTCTGAATTTAGATTTCATAGAATTGACAGTTGAAAAAGTGGATTCATTCACACACCCGTGTTGTTCCAAACCATGACTGTATTATTAGATTTTCAATTTAAATTTAGATTATATTAAAATTAAACTTCAGCTCATAACTATTTGGAGACTGATAATTATGATTGGGCATATGCCTAGCAGTGGTGGAAAATAAAGTTTAAAAAGGTAGCTGGGGGCAGTTCTGCTGACAGCCTCAAACAGCAAGCCAAAGAGATTGTTCTAAATGGGGAAAAAAGTTTCTGGTGAGGAGGGATGTAAGCTGTGTTTGGGGAAAGATTCACTTAGCATTGATGTAGATGATGGATGGGAAGGGTGACAGCTTGGTGGCTAAAAGAGCAACTAGCTACTGCACTAGTCCAAGCAAAATATAATGAAAAAGTGGGGGAGGTGCTAGGAAAGGAAAGAAAATTATAGATTTACATAAGGATATCAGGTAAAGTGGGCAGGAAATCAAAGAAAGGGAGGAGTCAGAGAGTTCTGTAACAACTAAAATAAAGAAGTAAAGAGGAAGGGCTGGAGGGAGAAAAGTTATTTCTAACGTATTTGCATAGAAATGTTTAAAAAAAAGATAGGAATATATGTACATATGGGCCGGTGGTGGGAGGAGATCTTTGGGCAAACATGAAAAGAAATAAAAATCTATTTATAGAACTGTCAAATTAGCAGAATGGGCAACTTTCTTAGAAATAACGTATACTATTCCAACAGTTGGGAGGGTCTGAGTAAATTAAATTATGGTACCACTTATTAGAAAGCTATGCAGCTGTTAAAAATCATTGCTCTTGAATTATATCAAGGGATATGGGGAATTGCTTAAGATATATTTTTAAATGAAAACCTTAAGTTTGGATAATAAGATTCCATTTTTTTTAAAGGATATACATTTACATAATGTATAGCACAGAAAATGTGTGGAAGGACACATACCAGACATAGATTATCTCTGCAGAGTAAGACTGAAAGGGGCAAGAGCTTTTATGTTTTATACTTTGGTAGTGCTTGAACTTGCTACAGAGAACATATCATTTTTATTTTTGAAAAGGGAGACCAGAAAAATGACTGAAAGGATTTCTATCAAAAAATTATCTCAGGGTCATTTTTATTTTCTTATTACAAACTGTTTATATTTCAATATGTAATACTTCTATAGTCAGAAAAAAGTCATAAAAGAAATAATCTATAATACCAACGACACAATCAATTTTAAGTCTGTTTGCAAAGTCAAAGTTTATAGAGTTGGGTGTTTCTTTAAAGAGGTTTGGATCCAATTTCTTTTACTTCTTTGGGGCTCACGCTTACTTTTATAGCTGCTGAAGCTATTTCCACATTAAAAAAAAATGATTTCCATTCATGTGGGCAAAAAGGAAAATGGAGGCCAACCCCAAGGCAAGCCTTCCTGAGAGAAAACAAAAAGCCTCTGTAACCTGTAGAATGAAAACTTCACCAGTAGAACGTGACTCTTTTGTCGTGAATGACTTCAATTGCTGGTGAACAGAAATTTTCAATGAGAACAAAGAGCATCAGAACGATTTCAGTGCTCTGGTTGTCATTCCAGGCCAAACACACCAGTAACTTTATATTATAATGATGGGGACAAAGAACAAGGTGTTCCATTCACTGTGAGGCTCCTGCAACAAGAGGGCGCAGAGTCTTTCACTGAAGTGGAAACGAGAAGGAACTCTCAAGGAAAGCGAAAAGGGCTGCGAGCAGGTAAATCACCATCAACAGCATAAATAATGGCAGAAAATGGGTGAAGAGATGAAAAGATGCCGTCTGATCATTCACCAATGGAAAGATGTGCACTAAATCAGGGTCTTTTCTGTCTGACGCTGTTGTTTTTACCGAACAGTTAAGCACCCAAGGAAATACCAGTTGGGTCTTAAATACAATTTATAGCCGGGTTGGCCTCATTGCACCTGGCTGTGTTTTGACAGCAGGTTTCGTCAGTTTATAGCGGAGATGCTTGTCTATGCTATAAGCTGTCACTAATGCAACTAGACCTTTGGAAAAAAAGTACCGCTCAGAGGCAAATCTCTCCCTTCCACGCACCCCTCCCCCTTTTAATGAAAAGCAAAAGCCTCCTGCTGGTGGCAAAGCCTCTTCTTCTTCAGGGGAAATTAGAGCCTCCTGGGAGCAAGCGGGTCAGCCCCAGTGCTGCAGCCCGAGTGGGGTGCGCCTGCTTCTGGGCACTCGATTAAGGACTCTTTCTTTTCTCTTCCCTCGGGGCTAACTGTTGAACACAGTGGCCTTGTTGTTCTGGGCCAGGAAATGTGGGATTCTGCTCTTTGAGCTCCCAACTCTTCCCAGCTTCCAGGCCCTGCTAAGAATGTCTGGGAGCCTTGCAACAGCCTGGCCTAGGAACACAAGGCAGACGGCTTCGCGGGATACCCAGCCCTCACCTCAGCCCCTTCGGAGACCAGAAGAGCAAGGCTTGGCTATTTAGGTTCAGACAAACCTTAACTTCGTTTCCCGGGATTTTTGTACTCAGCTAGTGGCCTGGTTTGGAAGCCACTGATGTAGAAATCACAGGAGCTCATTATAATATACACGAGTTGAAAGCACTTCCTCCCAGGACCAGGTGCTGCCTTATTCCACCCATTTTGTTTTGCGTGTTTATTCTTCTTCACTGCCAGAAGGACTGGGCCAAACAAATAAGTTTTAACAGGTGACATGCATTCCTGAACCGAAGGCAATGCGTCCTTTTTAGGAATGAGCTCATGGTGGCTGGTGGCCGACATTTCCCCCCGTGTGGTAGAACAGGACAAAGATGTGAGTAGAGGGATGAAAAGGTAATGGAGAACAGCCCCTTCTGTTCCTTAATTTCATGGTTCACAGACCTTCATTGACATTCAGACACTCCCAAGGGGAAGCTCATATAACCGGTCATGAAACCAGAAACGAGCAGGCTAACAGCGTTGCTTGCCTGGGCCCCGGGGCAGAGTTTCTCACCACCTTGGGGGTCCACTCCCAGACGCTAGGGCCCACTATGATGGGTCTGCAGCTGCTCCGGGGGCCAGCCCAGGCTGGGAGAGTTGCAGGCCTACAGGGTCCTTTGACCAGCCGCATCCAGGATGCCACCCTCGGACTTCTCAGGGCCCAGGCTCCAGCTAGGGTCGGCCCTCAGGGCTGCCCTTCAGGCTCCGCGAAGCACAAGACCCGGGGAGCGCGGAAGGGAGAGAAGGCTCCAGGCCGGGTGATCCCCTCGCAGCGAGGGATGCCTGGGAACCGTCTCTCCCTCAGAGTTGCCCATGGGCTGAAAGGGAGGGAGAGAAGGAAAGCTGAAGGAGGGATGGGTCCCGGTCCCTAAGACAGAGAAATGAATCTAAACTGCTCCCTCAGATGAGAAGAGCAGCCGGAGGTAGAGATGCACAGCCAGGGGAGGAAGTCGAGGGCAGCCGCACAGGGGTGATGACGGAGAAACTACGGGTACGCCCGGTCCGAGGGACGCGGCAGGCAAGCAAGCTCACGCGTACGTGGCCGCATCCAAACAGCAGAGCTCGAGGCCCGATGGCAGCATTGACCTGCTGCCGGGTGACGCCGCCCAAAGTATACGCCACGCTTTGCAAGACCTCATTTAACACTCAGTTCAGGGTCAACCAGAACGTCCACCTACAGCACCACGGTCACTAGAGGCAGAGGCCTGAGGCACACATCACCGTGCAGGCCTAAGAGGGTGGGAGACCATCATTTTCCTGAGTCAGGGATATTCCAACTCAGCAAGAAGGTTACTTTTGTAAGTATATACAAATAAATCACTGTCATGATGGATACACTAAGTATGAAAAGCTAAGTACACAAGCCTTACTGTCCCCCACAGACTCTCGGGAAGCAGTTATCTTAAGCACACCTGTGGTATTCCGGAACTCTCCAGCCAGTCTTGGAAGATGTTTTCAACAGACAACTCAAGCCTTTAAAAATAAAACAACGACAACAAAAAGTAAAGGACTGAAAAAGTTACAGAGCACTTATTACACAGAATGGTTCTAACTATTCGGGCACATCACCGCATCAATCTTCCAGAGAAATCGGGAGAAAGTGCAATGCTGTCGCAGGTTAAAGTGAGGAGGGGGACCCGGTCACGTTCAGTACAGCTCCTCTCCAGTCAAAGAGAGTGCACACAATGAAGTCTAAGAATCAAAGGCACACCACAATAGGTGCTTTTAATGTCTTGAGAGGAACTTCTTGGTTGGGAGTGCCATTCAGGGAGGATAGGGCATGTTCATGGGACACAGCAGGCGTGACTGCTTCCTGGAAAGAGGTGGAGTAAAGTGAAATCTGAACACTATAGCACTTAGCGCACCAAAATGAAATTCCAACTTTATGGTGACCATGGGCTACAGCAAGCAAAAATGATACAAATCATTATTGGAGCCCTGAGAGGCTCACAGCCATGGAGCACACATGGCTTCTGCTGCTTGTTTTCAAGCAGGCCTTCATTCTGCTTTTTCTGAAATATTATGATTGCTTGTTACGTCTGATCCAAAGGAAGCTGAAATCTTTTGGTTTCATGCCCTGCTGATTTAAATACTCCTTAAATGTACTAAGTGTCCAATATTTTTAGGGTCAACAGACTGTCTTCCTGAAGTTTAAGCCATTCCTCCCTGGCTTCTAGATAATTCTTGCTCATGCCTGGTCTCTCTAACCACAGAGGCCTTCCTGGAGCCTCTCCCAGGCTGTGTGTGTCATACCCACCATGCTTCCTGTCTTCTGTGGCACAGCATCCATCAACAGTTTGTGACTGCAATTTATTTGGTTACTTGACTTTTAACTGTCTCCTCACTGGCTCAAAGCTCTCTGAGACCAGGGTCCAAGTCTGTTTTACTCACTTCCCTAAACCCAGCTCTTAAAACAGTTCTTGGCGTAAGAGAGGATCCCCATAGATATTTTTTATTTGCATGAATGAAAACACATTTCATTGTTGACTCAATAAAGATTATTCCTTTTTAAGTTAATAATCACCTTTCCCAGTAGGATATTCCCAAGTTGTTACGCTCTGTATTTTTTTTTAATTTTATATACTATATTACATATATGTAATATTCCCTCCTCCCTCCCTTTGGAATTGTAAAGAAGTTGTGCAAAGATACAATGCTGTCTGCATTAGTTAAGGTGCTGAAGGCCAAGTACTCCCCTCACACCTGTGCTGGTTGGGCTTTGGGCTGGACCACAGTGAGAAGGGAGGGAGGGAAGGAGGGGGGTGGGCTTGGGGAATACGGGGCTGACTGATACTGTCCCTTCCTTTGCTTCTCCACTGAGAAGCAAGTCACCTGTGTGCCTCTGTCTTCCCTGCCCAGGGCAAAAGCAAAGATTGCCGAAGGAGGCAACTGTTGCTATTTCAAAACAGAGAAAATACAAAGAGGGCAAGAAACCGGTTTGGATTCATTTTCAAGATGATACCCACCTGTGGGACGACCAGGCAGGGAAGAGGCCAGAAGTGAATAAGGGGAAAGTGACCACCTCCCTAGGCTGTCTGCCCAGTTCCCAGGTCAGTGGAATTACTGGCTGTGTCTCTATGAAAGGCCAGGTGCCACCATCCCTGGGCTTTTCCCCACTATTTCTTGTCATCTAACACCACCACTCTCAGTGCAGATGGCCAAGTCCCCTCTGTGGGCTGTGAGAGTGTGGAAGTGTGTGAGTGTGCTCACGTGCGTGCATGCATGCGTGCCCTCAGGTGTCTGTGTGTGAGTGTGTGTGCACATGCACGTGGGCCGGGGATGGGGGGCGACGAGAAGAGAGGCGGCATCTCTCAGAGCACCTTAAATCAAGATCATTATTCTTTCTTGGGCTTGATTTATTTGCTTGGCCATAGAAAGAGGCGCTGGAAATGCCCTCAACTGGCATGACTGATCTGCTAGGAGGAGGAAAGTGGGGCAGAAGGGCCACTTAGAGAAATGTCCAAGGAGACTTGAGGTTGTTTTATTTTCTAGTGACATTTGTGAGGCTGGAAGGTAAGACAAATCTTGTAATTTCCACTGAAGACAATGCTCAGTGGAAGGCCTGTTCTTGTTTGGAACGAATGCAAACCTTCTGCACCTTTGCCTGGCACCCGGGTGGGAAGAGTTGCTGCCCCGGGGCTTGAGCGGCTGTGGAGGCCCTGCTGGCACTCTAAGTTGTTAGCCCTGATTCAGAAGCAAGGGTCCATTTTCTTCCCTGTCCTTCCTTCACTGGTGCTTCTATCTAAGCAGCTCATTCATCTACTTCCTTTCCAGCCAAAGAGAGACACTCCTGTGTCCAGGGCCCTGGGGCCAAAAGCCCCTGTCACCCATCCTTCAGGTGATACCCAAGTAGGCAGCAGCAAGTGTCCGACTCGGAACTGAGCTTCATTGTGCTGTGGATTCTAGGAAAACGGGCATTCTTAAACCTGCCACAACTTAAGACGGAGAATTTAAAAAGGATTTAGAAAAAAGCAGTAGTGATGATCAAAGGGCTAAGCACATTGGACCCACAGGGGAGGTCAAGGGAACTGGGATTAAATATCCTGAAGAAGAGAAGTCTGGGGAGTGACTTCAGAGCCATTTTCAAGCGATTTTTACAAAAGATGGTGAACAGCTGTTGTGCGTGTCCATGGAGGAGTGAGTAAGAGGACAGGGACATAAATTTCCTTCAGGGAATTTTAGCTTAAAGACACTTCTTTAGCGGTGGCATGGTGGGGGGATGGCATGGAGGAGGGCGGGGGCTGGGGAGTTGAGTCCCAGCATGTTACTAACTGAGGTTCAAGTCTTCACCGGAGAAGACTGAGAACAGGCAAAAGCTTCTCTCTGCGGCAAACATTCGGTGGATGCCTACCAGGCATGAGGTTCTGTACAAGACCAATATTATTATCCCCATCTTAGAGTTGAGCAAATAAAGGTCCAAGAGACTAAGGGCCTTATGCAGGGCCTCCTAGATGGTGCTTGAAGAGCTGGGATTCAAACTTGTGTTGCCTGGCTGCAAAGCCCTCGCTTTTCTTTCTGCGTTTAATTCAGGAAATTAATCCACAATACATTGGTTCATGATTTATCATGCAGACAAGCCTGCAGGAGGAGAAGGCCTGCGCTGGCTCTCACCAACGCTGACTTCTTGTTCACATCTCTCCTGCTGAAGGTAACCTGGCCGCTGCTGCGGTTGCCCTGCGTGTCTATCCCTCAATTACAGTTCCAAGGAGATAGGGAGAATCTTGGGAGGGGCAGAAGCATGAGGACAGGAGAGTTCATTGTTTAGCTGCATCCAGGAGCAAAAGACACTCTCCTGTGAATGAAGAGAACCTGTGTTTCCAGATCGCTTTCCCCTGGAAAGGTTCAGTACATCTTATAACCATTATCACTTCATTCCTCATAATATCCTCGTGAAGTGGGTGTCAATTGTTGTGCGGCTTTTTAGCAGATGGAGAAACTGCAGTATAAGAAGACCGGTCAAAGTCAGCCCAGGCTAAAGAAAGGATCTCAGTTTCTAGACTCCCAGTATCAGCACAGACATCAAACTGCACTGATGCCTGTTTACAGATTCCTAACGTGGAATGAGATGTTAAACTATGAGAGGAAGATCAAAGCACTAACTCCATCTGCCAGAAACAATTTTTTAAGGTAGTATAAGTAGCCTTACCTCCCAAGGAAATTATGGGAGACTGTTTGAAAATGCTGAACTTTCAGGAAAGAAATGGGCTGTATGTTTTATGAAAAAATATGTACATAATTTTGGCTGTTTTGATCATAATTACTGAGATGACAGTACAGGTGAATTTTTAGTTCTGAACTTGGATATACAGCAGTGGTAAAGCTGAAAGCTGACTTTTTCAAATCAAGACACTCAGAGTCAAAGCCAAGGGTGAATTTTTCCCCTCTGAGATCATGTGGCTTAAATAATCACAACAGACAAGCAGAAGCATTTCCACTTCGCTGGGATCCAGAACTTACAGGAAATTACTCTTCTGCATGTCTGATCACTATGGAAATTGATTTTATACAGATAGCTAAAAGTACACAGACCCACGACTGCACGCCCTCCATCTCTGTACTAGTGAGCGGTACTTCTGCCTCATTACTGAGACCTCCTGGGTATCTGGAACAGCAGGTTGTTTTACCCTCTGGCTGGAGAGTTCCCTTGCTGTACGCCTACGTCCTGAAAGGCAACTCTGAGTTTTAGGAGTGGGGTCTCCAGACCCTGTGAGCTCTAAATGTGGTCACGTGTAGTTAATGCTGCAAGGGAGAGAATATGCTGGCCATCCTGCACGACGCTGGCTAGAAAATTAATCTGTGTTTAAGGCTGCGAAAGCGACCAGTTGCTCCTCTCTTCGTAATATTACAGTACACAGAAACAGACCCAGGCGTGCGAGAAAGCAGTATTGCCTGTGGTGTATTGCTTCTTCGGTTGATCTCTGGGGTGGAGTGGCAAGGATGGGGAACTGACTATTAACCATATCTGCTGCTTGTGCCTATCAACTTGTTGCTGATCAGGAGAAAGGTCTTTATCACTCTTGGCTCTGTCTTCAGCCTCTTGAGATTCTAAAGATCACGTTCTATCTGCGCCTCTAAAGGAAAGCGCAAGGCCCGGTAATGTTCCCAGGAACTGAGAGAAGATGGAAAGAATTTGGGAAGTACAGTTCTAGATGGATGAAGGCTTTAGGAGCTTCCATGCTCAGGGTCTGAAACAGAAAATGCTCTTGTTCTGGAATGCAACTTACATTCTGTATGGGTTTTTACATTTTAGTAATTTACGTTTATAAGTTCCCTCCCTCTGTGGGGGGATGCAAATAGTGTATGCCTCAAAGCTTTGCACATGGTTACTTCTTTTCTCGATCAGAGCAAGTCATTTGTGCTTGGGTAGATAATGAAAATTGCTGAGGTAACAGTTACAAACGAGTACTCCCTAGCTTCGTGGGGGAGGAAAAGTACTGAATTAAAACAAACACGTGAATGCGCACACACAAACAACAATAGCTGATGAGCAAAGAGAGAACCCGCAGCTGTTGATACCGCTGGAATATCAGGTGGGCAAGGCATGTTGGATAAGGTGCTGTTCTGCCAGGGCAGACAGGCACCCAGGATTTGTTTGAATCTCCTTCAAAGCACTTCTAGCTTTTTCTTTCCTTGGTCTCATCAGCATTTAAACTGAAACCTCACACTGAAGATGTCTAAAACATGACTTCTCATCTCCGCTCTTCCACTGCAAATACCCTCCCTTCCTTCCCTCTGGCCCATGCTGACTCCTGAGACCAAACAACTACCAGCTGGATTTCCAGGGCTTCTACCCTCAGCATGTAACTAAGTGGCCAAGAGAGAAAGGCCAGGTCACGCTAGACTCCTCTTTTCAGCTTTCACAACCAATCAACCAAGTCTTAACTGTGGCACCTCCGGAATATTCCTGAGATCTGTTCATACTCTCAAAGCCCACTGCCACCATCCCACCCACGGCTCCAGCTCTGGATCTCTTGAGTGAACTACTGTACCGGTCTCTAATTGGTCTCCTGACGCCTAGTTCTCCCCACCCCCATCTATCTTCCACGCTGCCTCCCCCGAGTATCTTTCCAACCTGCTGACGGCACTTCCCTACCTAAAACCTTCAGTAGTACCTCTGGCCTGAAGGCTCGAGGCTAGGACTGCTGAACTGTATCTCCATGCACCCAGGACTCTGAAGCTCACCAGAGAACCTCCTACCCTGAGTCATGACCTGTGTCATGTACATCTTCGTCTTCGGAAGTTGACCAGGAGCTCCCTGAGGGCTAGGCATAGAATTGATTCCTTTCTCTTACCTAGTGTCCAGCCTAAAGTCTGGTAAGGGAGGTGCTCAGTAGAGAATGCTAAAATTAATCGAAGCAAGAGAACAATGGAAACGCAGTATGACACAGACGTGCCAGCCCCAGGACCCTAACTGGCTGGTCTAAAGTGAAAGACTGTCCTGTTCAGAACAGCTCACGTGCTTAGCAGATGTGCCTGAGGATCGGTTTGCAATGGAGCCAAAGGTTGGAAGCTCCAGGGGTAGGTGTGGGGCCTTTGGAGACCTGGATAAAATTGGTACAACATGCCGCACAGGCAAAAGGGTGAACGGTCTGCTTTAATAGCTGGATTCGATTCTGAGATTAGCTGGCAGGAAAGAAGATGTTTCAGTTTCAAAATATATTCTAGTATACTTGCTGAAATACATTCACTGTAGCCATGAAATCTCCTTAACGCCTCAGGAGAATTTTAAAAAGAAGCTTAAGCCTGCTAGCTAAAAAGTGATCCTAACTGGGCGAGGCATCCTCTCAAGGGTGAAGGTTGGTGGTTGTGGCCACCATTCCATGGAGATGCTGCTCTTAACTTCCACAATCACAACAAAAGTCTCTTTGTGGGTCCACAAAAAATATTCGCAATGATAAAATCCAGGTCCCCCAGAGCCAGAGGGCTTGGGGCCATCCAAATGAACTCCATAACCTTATTAGGAAGAGGATGAAAAGAAAGAAGACCTCCAAAACTAAAAATGCACTTTGTGGCTTCCACGAAAATTGCTGTATTTGTGTCCTGAGAAGTTCTTCTTAAGGAATGCATAGTCGTCATTCAGAAACAGACTTTGGTAACAGCCTAAGGAGGTAATATACAATTTCTATTCATTTTCTTTTTCCTTTTTCTGTATTAGTTCCTAAGGAAACTGCTCCATTCTATTAGAGGACCTGAAAAGTTATTTCAGGGCAAGTACAAAAGAAAAGAAAAATTCTCACAGGTAAACTGTTGTTCTTGACCTTAGGAATAATGGCTACATCTGATGTGATTTTTTACATGAAGAAAACCCATATGTTTACTTAAAAAAAAAGAAGGATGGTAAATCTGAAACATTTCAGACATTTCAAAACAAGCCACCCTAACTGTTAGAACTTTTCTGCCCTCCATTCTTTTCCACAGCAGCTGAGGCCACAGAGTGTCCTTGGCTTGCCTCCTCTACCACTTTCAGGACTCCTGACTCTGGGGCTCCCCTGCTGCGCGTGCTGGCTCCCAGAATCCACACTCCCAATATTTCTAGACCTAGTTGATCATCCCGGGACTCCTGCTGTCTGCGGAGGTCCCTCCTCTATTGAGAGAGGAAGATTAAACTTTCTAGGTTGCAACTTGCCCAACAATGGCAGAGTCATTTTTAACATTAAAAATAAAACTGGGCTCCAATAAAGATGTTAAAATAAATAAATAAATAAATAAATAAATAAATAAAACTGGGCCCTTAATTCCTAAATCGGTCCTCACCTTCTTTCTTCTGGGATGCTCTCCAACAGCATTTGAAGGAAATCCTGGAATAAGAAAAAGACAAATCATTAAAGATGTCCATCAGTAAATAACCCTGCCCAGAGTCACGCCAGGGACTGAGTGTTCCCAGCTGCTCACAGCTCACCTGCTAGGGAAGGTAGGCCGATACTGAATTATTAGGCTATATACTCAATTTATTAATTTACCAGGGCTTCAATCAAATCAGTTACAACCACAAACAAATTGAAAAAAGTAACGTTTGTTATTTTGACCTAACCCAACAGTTTATTTCATTTCATGTTTCACTATTTTCAAAAGGCTGGCCAGAGCATAAAGCACTATCCCTCTCTACTTAACCATGCTCTACTCTTTGTGAGCTCTCTCTGGATATCCTATTACACACTGAATAATCTCAACTCTGGGAGGCTAGTAACCAACAGCTTTTTTGCATTGCTCTATAGACAATAAAGACGAAAATCAAGACAATTAATATCCCAGTGGAGGAACAAAGATGTCACAATTCCAGAAATCATTCACGGGCCCTTGCCTCCATCTGCAGCCTCTTCTGGTGCCACTGTGCAAGTCCTCAATTGTTTGATATTTAAGATGTTTCAAGAATAGATTTTTTTTTTTAATCTAAAGGCATGACTTACACACAAACCCATTTTATCCTTTATTATGGAAAATTTCAAACACATTCAAAAGTAGTAAAAAAGCATAATTACCTTCACGTACCCATTATCCCACAGCCAATCTGCCCCATCCACTTACCTACCTCCTGTATTATTTAGAAGTTAATCGCAAACATTACATAATTTCACCAGTCAATGTTTCAGTAAATATCTCTAAAAGATAAGGCATCTTTTAAAACATAACCACAATACCAGAAGACCTAAAAAATATTCACACACGAATGTTCAAAATCACATTTATATTTAATTTGCAACTTGTGTGTTGTGACCAATCTTTTTACCCCATCTAACTCTGGAATCTTGATTTGGTCTCAACTAGGTTTGTCAGATAAAATATAGGATGCTCAGCTAAATTGGGGGCATATTTACACTAAAAAGTTATTTGTTCTTTTTCTGTTATGGGGGTTGTACATTTTTATTTGCTAAATGGGTAAGTCTAGTGTCAACCCTCCCTCATCTGAAGGTCTGATAAGATACATTTTGGATAAATACAGAACACGAAACAAACAAGAACAACGTTTAACTTTCTAGAGGCTTGATATTGAGCAATAAATAAGACCTATACATGAAGGTTTTCTTTCAATAAATTGAAAATAACCCTTCAAACTGGTCCTTTAAAGAGGGCACATGTGTAAGCCCAGATGACCAAATATGACACTGCTGAATGAGCATCCCTCCAGACTGAAACGCCCACCCCAATCAAGTCTGCAGATCCAGGGTCAGCACAGGGCTCTGATGAGATCCATTTAACTCAGAGCGTGAGGTGCCAGCAGCAGTGCAGACCGTCGTATTACAAACAGATGGAATTACATAGGAATAGAAATCTGCAAACAATTTGTATGACAAGGGTGTTCTTTTACTATCATGGCATTAAGCACAGCCATCACTACATTGGTGAAGCCAGCCATCACTTCCTATGTGTTTATGGGTGGCTAGGTCCATCTCTTCCAGAGGCAAAAATCTTTCTATTAAGAGCAGTAGTGAAAGATTTATTTCTTGCAACTTCTGTTCTTCTAAGACTCTACTTGCCTATTGCTGCTTCACCCAAAATAAACAATACAAATACAACAAAACTAATATTAAAAACATGTATCAGTCCATGCACCCCAATGTTCATAGCAGCACTATTTACAATAGCCAAGATATGGAAGCGACCTAAGTGACCATGGATGGATAAAGTATTACTCAGCCATAAAAAAGAGTAAAATAATGCCATTTGCAGCAACGTGGATGGACCTAGAGATTATCATACTAAGTGAAGTAAGTCAGACAGAGACAAATATCATATGATATCACTTACATGTGGAATCTAAAAAAATAATACAAATGAAATTATTTACAAAACAGAAACAGACTCACAGACACAGAAAACAAACTTATGGTTACCAAAGGGGAAGTGGGGGAGGGATAAATTAGGAGTGGGATTATCAGATACATACTACTATGTTACACACTACTATATATAAAATAGATAAACAACAAGGCTCTACTATATGGCACAGGGAACTATATTCAGTATCTTGTAGTAATTTATGATGTTAAAGAATATCTGAATCACTTTGCAGTACACACCAGAAACTAATACAACATTGTAAATAAACCATAGTTCAATTAAAAAAAAAAAAAAAACATGTATCAGTCAAAATGGAAGGGGACAACCCCAAATAGAATAATGCACCTGCAGTGGGTATATTGGAAAAAATATCAAAGGAAACAAAAGCAATATTTAGAATGCAAAAAAGTATTTTTGACTGAGGTTCTTAGAGTCATTATTTTTATTATTTTAATAATTATTTTGTAAAAAAAAGTTGAATTAGAAATTAATTTTTCATAATCTATTATTAGATTACTTTGCAGATATTTCATTGGCTTAATGACAGAATTCTTGCTTCTTAAAAATCCAAGTACTGTAATTATAATTTCTTATAATTTTACTTCATTATCTCCTTATAGTCCATATCAACTTATCCCACATTTGTCCAGTAATTTATGACCAATTATGTGGGGGGAAAATTACATTAACTCAATGGCAAGGGGGAGAATTTAATTGCATGAGAAGCAGGAAATCCAGAGTTAACCTTAATTCTGCCCTTTTGCATTTTCCAATTACAATTGGATCTTTCTTTACAAAACTGCAGGGCGCAATGTTTCAGATTTTGTGTGAATACAAGAAAACTGCAGGAAGTCCCCAAGAAGCCCTGCTTCATTTTTTAAGAAAGATAACTGTCCCACTTCTTAGCAGGTGGCCATCCGCCTCTTCCTGTCTCAGAGCTGAGACCTGCAGGACACACAGCAGCTAGCTGAAGGCTGCCAACCAATGCTGAGGATGACGGGTCTAAGGGATCACCCTAGGCCACAAAAAACCAATACCTCAAGCATCTCTGAGACACGATGCCTGTATTTCCACAGGCTATGGGAATGTTTGTCTACAGTGCTAGACATTCTTCTCTGTCCTATGCTACATCCAATCCAAGAAGACACTTGGTCTCATCCAGGCAGTCTTTGTATCATCAGTGGAATCAACTCAACTGGCCCTTTGTATTCCTTTCATAGACATACTCTTAACCACAAAACGCTAGTTTTCCTGGTTCTAGTCATAAATTGGCATATACTCCTGGAGTGGATTCATCATAGAAGCCTTTCCCCATTCTCCACAACAGAATGTTATAAAAAGAAAGATGTCTCTTATGATTATTCCTTCCCTTACCACCTCTTTTCAATTTTCATCTGTCTTCACTCTTCCCTTCAGCATGTTGGCACTTTTATAAAAACAACTTACAAATATCAATTGGACAAGGAGGGTTTTCTTTCAAGGCTGATTCTAGGATCACCGACAGGATCTAAGACACTGACTTGATCTAGGATCACTGACAAAGTCAGCTAGCAACAAATACTAGGGGTCCCAGTTTCTCACCACTAGAGTATGCCTGAAAAAAATTAAAGCCAAAGACAAAAACAACAACAACAATCCTGCCGTTTTGACAGTGGGTCGGGGTGAAATTTTATCTGGATCCCTGACAATTATTACAAGCCCACACTCTGGTCGAAAAACACATTCCTTGGGAATTTTCTTTTTCATTTATTATTCTCCTAATAATCTATATACTAATCAGGTCAGTCCCAGACAGCTTATTTTGATTATCACCTAACAACACTAAATAAAGCATTACAATTAAAAAAAAAACTACACCGATTTCGGCACATGACGAATTTGGTAATTAATTTTTAGTCCTGGTGAAAGTATTCAACAAAAAGCAGGCGCATGTAGAGTCTACTGGATAAACTGACACTGGCTTGATAATTACACAGGATTAGGGATTTCTGTCAGACGTTTTATGAGTAACTACTATGGTCATAGGGAAGGGGGAGGTAGGAGAGGCAAAACAAATAATCAAAATGTTGAAATAAGGACAGTGTTGGCAGCATAAGAACTGAAAAGGAATGAAATGGTCAGGAATAAGTTATTGTTAAGCTCAAGAGAGCAATTTTAGTCGGGAGGTAGAAAGATGATAATTCTGAAATACTGGGCAGATGGGGTATTCGGAAAGAAAAGGATTCAAAAGTAAATTGGAAGAAGAAGAAACTGAGGAACTTCTGAGTAAAGAAACTGAATCATGGTCTTCCTCATCAATAACTAACTAGCAATATAAACAAAAACACAATCCATTTAAAAAAGTTAGCAAAAACTTCACCAGCAGCGTCCAAACATGGAAAGAATACAGCTTGTGGCATAAACTTCAAAGAGACAACTAAAGAAGAAACATAAGATTCCAACACAGCCTCCAACCCTCCCTCTGTACCACCCCCTCCCTCATGCTTAGCAGGAGTGGTACTGGTGAATTGCCCAAACCCCACAAATTCTCACAAATACCCACACATTTGGAAAGAAACAGGAATATCTTTATTTTTCCTCTCTTTTTGACTGTGAAGGGACTGAAAAATGTTTGCTCAAGTGAGATGAGCAAAACCTGGGAAATAAACAACTGAGGATGACACTCTCATGAACTGTACAGGATCTAGGGCTCCAAGCTGAATTGGACGAACAATATTAATTGAGAGAGTACCTGCAATGGAAAAAAGTGGCACCCAAATTAGGTGAAGAGAATCTTGGCTGGGAACCTTTAACAAAATTTCAAGAGTTAGTGGAGCCAAATTCTTACAACAAAGGATGTATACAGCTCCAGAGGAGCTCTTCCCCTCCACCTTCTCCATGCATAATATCCAAACTTCAAACCGTAGCTCAGAGGGGAAGAAAAACACTCCTAAGACAAGTTACAAAAGAAATCAAGGATAATGTTCCAATACATATGAGAATAAACAGAAGGTCAGGACAGTACAACTCATGCTGAGAATGAGCCAGAAAAAAAGTATGGCAACTATGCAAACTAATACAACAAAAACCCACCAAAAGAGAGAGACAGAAACAAGAAGCATAGCATAAAAGACAAAGAATCCAGTCTTGAAGAAAACATAATCCAAGGCACAGAAGAAAATTCTCCACGAATGCTTTACACTAAAATATAAATTAAAAGAAAATAATAAGAACATAAATTCAGTAAAATGAAAGCTCAGACAAGATGACAAAACAACTAAATGAGAGGAAGAGATTTCAAAGCAAAGGGAATAAATTAGGAACCAAAATAATACCACTATACAAGCATTAATAAAACAGAAACATCAAGGAAAAGAACAGCTGTTAAAGAAAAAAAATTATAATTTTATAATAATAACATTAATAATAAAAAATAATATTGCTTGAGATAAACATACACTATAAAGAACAAAACGACAAAAGCAACTAGAAAATAACAAGTACGAAGGACAAAGATGACATAACATACAGATAACCAGTAACCTCGATATTCAGAATCCTGCAAGGGAAAAAAAAAAAAAATGAATGTGTTCAAACATACAATTAAGACAATTTTACTGAAAGAAGGGAGAATAGATTCTGAGTCTAAAAATGCACAGTGTTTTCCAGGAAAAAAAACTGATGCAGACTCATGGACACCAAGCCACTTTTGATTAAATTACTAAACATCAATGGTAAAGAATTCTTCTGTCACCTGAGTGGTATAAAGAGAAAAAAATAGACTGACTTCGAAAGTTTCAACAGCAGTATTTAATGCCAGAAGGCAGTTGAGCAATAGCCACAAAGTTCCGAGGAAATGAAAGCATGACCCAAGAATATTATACCCAGACAGTTTGTAATTCAAATATAAAGGCAACAGGCAAACATTCTCAAGCAACTTGACCATCAATTTGCTAACAAAATTTAGCCAAAGAAGAGTTGAATCAAAATAAAGCATTCATGAATACAGAAGCGTGGTAAAATGACTGTTAGTGAATACCGAAATCCTTTACATACAGAGCTAGGACTATGCAATGTGAAAATTATATTGTAGTAACAGCACACACTATAAATGATATAAACCTCTTAACTATGTAAAGATATTAATTAAGAACAATCTAGAATTGGGGGAAAAGTAGTTGAAGTACATAACTACTGGTTTCCTCATCTTTTACATAAGAGAAAAAACTGATGCTTTCTAAAAATAAGATATATATCTAAAGAGAAAAAAACTAACAATTTCAATCTCTTAAAGATTTTCTGTAATTGAAGAATCTTTTAGGAAATGATCTCTCTTATATTTATCTGAAGTTCAAGAAAGTCTTTTATATTCACCTTAGTTTCTTTTTCATGTGTTAAACCCAAGTAAAATAAAATTTAAAACATTTCATTAAAAAGCACATATAATATAATATTTTTAGAAAATTATTTCTAAATATGTCTTTGTATCTATACATGTGTGTACAATCAAACACACATACATATGTACTATATACCCATATACACGTAGATACGTGTATACATATCATATATAATATATAGAAAGAGAGAAAGAAACGGAGTGCAATTTCTAGAATGATGTTCACCTAATATTAATTATAGGTAATTATGGATGGTGAGATTTTGAATGATATTTTATATTCTTCTTTGTACTTTTCTGTACTGCTTATTACATTTTTTTACAATGAGTATGTGTCAGTCGAAAAAGCAATAATTTCCAAAGTTACTATGGGACTGGCAGAAGGACGACTGGATATTCACATGCAAAAGAATGAAGCTGAACCATCTACCTCACACTATATACAAAAATTAACTCAAAATGAGTAAGAGACCTAAATATAAAAGCGAAAATACAAAGCCCTTAGAACAAAACATAGGAGTAACTTTTAATTAGGCAAGAAGATATTTGCAAATCATATATCTGATAAGGGACTTGAATCTAGAATATATAAAGTACTCTTATAACTCAATAAAAGACAACCCAAATAAAAAATCAGCAAAGGATCTCAATAGACGTTTCTCCAAAAAATATATACAAATGTCCAATAAGTCCATGAAAAAATCCTCAGCATAGTTACCAGAAAAATGCAAATTAAAACCACAATGAGGGCTTCCCTGGTGGCGCAGTGGTTGAGAGTCCACCTGCCGATGCAGGGGACACGGGTTCATGCCCCGGTCCAGGAAGATCCCACATGCCACGGAGCGGCTGGGCCCGTGAGCCATGGCCGCTGAGCCTGTGCGTCCGGAGCCTGTGCTCCGCAACGGGAGAGGCCACAACAGTGAGAGGCCCGCATACCGCAAAAAAAAAAAACCCACAGTGAGGTACCACTCACACTCACTATGATGGCTATTATCAAAACACCCAAAACAACAAGTGTTGGTGAGGATGTGGAGAAACTGGAACCCTTGTGCATTGCTGGTGAGAATGTAAAATGGTGCAGCCCTTGTGGAAAACAATATGGCAGTTGCTCAAAAAATTGAATACCACATAATCTAGCAATTCCACTTCTAGGTATATATTCAAAAGAATTGAAAGCGGGGACTCAAACAGATGTTTGTACACTAATGTTCACAGCAACATTACTCACAAGGGCCAAGAGGTGTAAATAACGCAAGTGCTCATTAATGGATGAATCGATAAACCAAATGTGAAATATGCATACAAAGAAATATTGATAGGAAGGAAGGAAGGGAATTCCCTGGTGGTCCAGTGGTTAGGACTCTGCACTTTCAGTGCTGAGGGTTCAATCCCTGGTCGGGGAACTAAGATCCCACAAGCTGTGTGGTGCAGCCAAAATAAATAAATAAAAATAAAAAGGAAGGAAATTCTGATACATGCTATAACATGGATGAACGTTGAAGACATTTTGCTAAGTGAAACAAGCCAGATACAAAAGGACAAATATTGTATTGTTCCATTTGCGTGAGGTGCCTAGAGTAGTCAAACTCAGAGACAGAAAATAGAATGGTGGTTGCCAGGGGCTGAAGGGAGGAAAGAAAGTGGAGTTATTGGGAAGATTGAAATGTTCTGGAGATGCATGGTGGTGACAGTTGCACAACAATGTCAATGTATTGATACTTAATGCACTAACTATACACTTAAAAATGGTTAAAATGGTAAATTTTCTTATGTATATTTCATCACAATGTAAAAGGTTAAAAGGTAAAATTAAAAAAGAGAAATGAGGTACTGATACATGCTACAACATGAACCTTGAAGACATTATGCGAAGTGAAAGAAGCCAGTCCCAAAAGGCCGCGTATCATATGACTCCATTTATACGGAATGTCCAGAATAGGCAAATCCATAGAAAGTAGGTTAGTGGTTGCCTACGGCTGGTGGGAGGTGGAGATGGAGCAGCGACTGCTAATGGGTGTGGGGTTTCTTTGGGGGGTGATGAAAATGTTCTGGAATTAGAGAGCAGTCACGGTTGCCCAACGTTGTGAATACACTAAAAACCACTGACTTGTACACTTTAAAAGGGTGAAATTTATGGTGCGTGAGTTATATGTCAATAAAGCTGTTATGAAAAAACAATAAAGCTATAATTCAGGAGAGTTTAACAAAAGTAAAATTGAACGATTTGGTGGAGGGAGCACTAAGTGTTCCATGGGAAGCGGGTAGCAGAGCCTCAGAAGTCACAGTAAACCCAACACTCCTTCAGTGCGGCAGTATCTTGGTGAGAAGTGGTTTGGGCTATTCAGTCAACTGATCATATAAGACTCCTGAGCCAGTTTTCAAGCTGCCTTTCCAAATACAGGTTTAGGAATACCGCCCCTCCCCTCAACCAAAGAATAAGAAGAGGGTAGAGACACGGAACAGGTATCTAGTTTTGTTACACTCATGCTATTCCTTGCACATATGTTCAGATTATACACGTACATCCTTTACATCTAACATTGTGCACAGTTTGACTTCAAAACTGTATATGAGCACAACTGTCAAAAATCAAAAATACACATTAGTCCAATCTGCGCTGGGACTGCATCCTTTATTCTCTATCAGCTACGAGCAGTGTTTTCAGAGCCTCTCCCTCTTTGTTAACTTTCTTGTTATGTGCAGCTTGGCCTCACGCCCGTATAAACTGACAGAGTCTCTCTCCGACAGTTTTGTGGCCAGACTGTCTGAATATTTCAGTGTATCTTGTCTTTAATCTATTTGTTTATCAAATATATATGGTGTATGTACTGTGTGCGAATCATATACTAAGTACTGGTGAAATAAAGTACTAGTACTTCGTACCGGTGTGGCCTTGTTGAGCTTATACACAGAATGGAGGAGAGAGAAAAGAAACAAATGGACCCGTAAAGGAAAATATAATTGTGAAGAATGGTGATGGCAAGGAAGGCAACGAAAAAGGCAAAGGTTAGAGAAGAACTGGGTGAATGTATATCTGCTCAGCTGGAGTGACTCTGAGATTGTGGCACTGACACTGAGACAAAGGACAAGCAGCCAACCTTGCAAAGCTCATTGCAGGTGGAGGGGAGAGCAGGATTGTTTCGTTTTTGTTTTCCAGGTCACTTAAGGTGCAACTACCCACATCACTGTGCACAGGACAGCTTTGGGTTACAGTCTGTCCTAAACTACGGGGAGATCACCCTCCCGGAAACAACACTTCCCTGTGTCCACTTCATTAACTTCCTATCTTTCCTACTGTATTAAAACAAAAATCTTTTCCCTGCTTTTTTTTTTTGCCGTGCGCGGGCCTCTCACTGTTGTGGCCTATCCCGTTGCGGAGCACAGGCTCCGGACGCACAGGCTCAGCGGCCATGACTCACGGGCCCAGCCGCTCCGCGGCATGTAGGATCTTCCCGGACCGGGGCACAAACCCGTGTCCCTTGCATCGGCAGGCGGACTCTCAACCACTGCGCCACCAGGGAAGCCCTCCCTACTTTTTAACATTCACATCATCTAGTCGCCACAAGCTACACCTCCTCCAATTGTATATCATGGACTCACAAGGACTTATAAATTACCTGGGAAAGAATCAGCTGCCCATGAAATGTGTGCACAAACTTTCTTAAAAATGAAAAATAGGTGTCATCTCCAAGTCTTCTGGCAAGGAACCGGAGAAGGAAATAGCCCTAAAAGAAAGGAAGAAGAAAAAAAAAGATACTTATCATGTGTTCATCAGAAAAATGCTTACAAAGTCAACTCTAACCTACCCACCAGCACCTTATGCTCATCTAGAAAGTTTGGCCTGAACTGTCCCAGGCAGCCCTTTATATTCTTACCAGTAAGGTCGAGTCTGGTACTTAAGGATCAACTACTCTGCTTTCAACTGATCTACTAATGGTATCACCATCTTGTTTATCCTTGGCTTACATGAAGCCTGGAGGTCCATCATGGACCAAAAGGGAAGAGAGGCCCAGCTCCTCTCTCCCTCAGCTATCAGGAAAGGCCTTTACAACTTAGAATACTTTTTAAAATCACTCCTATCTTGTAGGTGGAACCTGACAGCAATTTTAAGATTCTGCTCTTCACAGCTGACATGAAGCAGGGAGAAGGGAGGTACAGGGAAGGGAACAGTTCGGCTTCCTTTGATTCATGCCTCATTATTTGGGTATGAAATGCTTTAACTATTGGACAATCAGAATCTGCTCAGTCAAATGTCATTACAATGTTGATGATTTTTTTTGTTTTGCCCCAACCACGTTACTAACCTTCACTGTTTATATGTAAGATCTAAAAAGTGCTGCACCATAATAACTGGCTTCTGCCACTCAGATATGCTTACCTTTAAATAATGAACCTGCATGAAGACCTTATCCGGATTGAGCCCGTGTTTGATGACAGAAGATCCTGAGTCACTCACGTGGCCAGTTTTCTCTTTATTGGGTCTAAAATGATGCAGTAAAATTTTCTTTAAGTATAGCATATTCTTAACTAATTAGACCATAATATCACCTTATTTCTTATTTTCAGAGTTGCCCAACAGCGTCTTAATTCTATTCAATAGTACCAGGTATAATTTAAAACGGTTTATGTTATAAATGCATATACTGAACAGGGAGGGATTTATATCTGGGTTGGCAACCTGAGGTTGGCTACTGGCAGTATTCTACATCATCTTATCCAAGATTAAATCTTGCCAGACCCTCAAGGAATCTCAGCTCCAACATGAATTATTTAAGAAACTATACACTTTTCTTTTGGTGGGAATGTTGGACTGGGAAATGCAATGGAAAATGTAGCTTTACTTGGAAGAGTAAAGAACTTATATCTTTTCCAAAAAATTCTGAAAGCCCCAATGTTATCTACTTCTCTTGATTTGCATTTAGTAATTAAGGCTCCTTTAAGAAATATTCATACTCTAAAGCCATTTTAGAGCCACAGAAACAAAACAAGAAAAGTCACAGAGGCCTATGTTTTTAGAACAGGTAGAGACATTAGTAATCACATACTTCAACCTCCTCATCTCACAAATGAGGGAAACAGGCACACAGAAATTAAGTCTGTATCCAAGGTCTCACAGCTTGTTTTGATTCATGGCGACATTAAGGATTGAAGCCAATGATGTCTCCTTATTATCTATCAGTGGTTTCCATTATGCTCCATGGTTTTAAATATTTTAAAAAATTCCCTTAATAAAATATAATTGTGTTATAGTGACAATTCAACAACTAACTAAATTCAAAGTAAGTGACAAGGTATTTACAGCTTTTAGCTGTTCGAAAACCAGTCACTTATTGGACAAACATTGAAGAGCATGTGCTGGGGTGAGGGGAAGGCAAGGGCTGACTGAAGAGCTGGCACATCAGAAAGGCAAGGGGTTATTTTTATTTATATATATATATTTAAAGATTTTTTTGATGTGGACCATTTTTAAAGTCTTTATTGAATTCGTTACAATATTGCTTCTGTTTTACGTTTTGGTTTTTTGGCCGCTTGGCATGTGGGGATCTTAGCTCCCCAACCAGGGATCAAACCCGTACCCGCTACACTGGAAGATGAAGTCTTAACCACTGGACCACCAGGGAAGTCCCCATTTTTATTTATATATTTATTTTTTGTTGCTGCTGTTTTTAAACTTATTTGAGGTATAGTTGATTTACAATGTTGTGTTGATTTCTGCTGTACAGAAAGTGATTCATTTATACACATATATACATTCTTTTTCATATTCTTTTCCACTATGGTTTATTACAGTATATTGAATATAGCCCCCAATGCTATACAGTAGGACCTTGTTGTTTATCCATTCTATATATAATAGTTTGCATCTGCTAACCCCAAACTCCCAATCCATTTGTTCCCCACCCCCCTCCCCCTTGGCAACCACAAGTCTGTTCTCTACGTCTGTGAGTCTGTTTCTGTTTCGTAGACAAGTTCACTTGTGTCATATTTTAGATTCTGCACATAAGTGATATCATATGGTATTTGTCTTTCTTTCTGACTTACTTCACTTAGTATGGTAATCTCTAGATCCATCCATGCTGCTGGAAATGGCATTATTTCATTCTTCTTTATGGCTGAGTAGTATTTCATTGTATATATAGCGAGGGGTTATTTTTAAAAGGTAGTTAGTGTTACAAAGTACACAGCATTTGGAATCAGAGAGACCCAGTATTGACTCTCAATCCTACTCTTTACTAACTGTTACTTAGTAGCAGTTTACTTAAATTCTCTAATCCTCAATTTACTCACTTGCAAAAATGGGGATAACCTTACCTCTCTCCCCAGGTCACCCGGGGAATAACTGAATTAATATATGCAAAGCCCTTAGCGAGGGCTGGGGATACAGAAATGACTCAATAAACTTAATAAAATTTTCTAAAGTTAGCAGTAAATATTGCTAAATTCAAGGTTGGTCATCTGATGTTAGAGGCAATAGATTTCAATGGTTCATCCCCTTAATCCTATATGCCCGCAGACACAAACATGGAAGGGCGCTGGACCTGAACGGCAGTGCCTGAGGATGACCCAGCTTGCCAAATCAGTCCCTTTGCAGTGTGCTGTAGCCGCCAAGCAAAGAACCCCTGATTAAGTCCCTGCTGAATATTCTAGTACGTTATCTCAGCAGACACAGGCTCAGAACCAGCAGATACCTAAAGGAGAGACGATGACGACCAGCCACTAGAGCTAACTGCATAGTTTGAATTTTTCCAGTTGATCCCTGACTTACAGACGTGACCATACTTGCAGGAATAACTAGTTAGTCCCTTTCATCTTGATTTAAGACTCCATTGAAAAGCATTAGCTTTATTCCTGCTCTCAAGTTTGTCCTGGAGTTGGCTGTTTTTATAAAGAAAGCCATGCTGGTTTTGATAGGAAAGCCTGCCAGACACACCTTGGGGGGAGGAAGGCTTCTCAGTGTCAACCTGAATTCAAACCAGTTTTCCCAGCCCCAAGACAGACAGAGTTGCTGTGAGTTTCTTTTGCCCTTGAGTTCTGAATGGATACTGTTAGAAGGGGAGGAACACAGAAGACCAACCTAAATCTCTGCTCCAAAGGCCGGCTTCCAGGCTCAAGTTTCAGATGACGACTTTAGTTGGTGCATTTTTCCTCTGACTAAAAATGTCCTTCCAGAAAGTATCTCTCTCTTACTCTCCTCTTCCACCCTCTCCAAGTGTTCAAGAAAATTCTTTTACGCTGACAGCATCCAAGGCAAATGTACAAGTCCCCAAGAGATTCCTTTTAAAGTAGACATGGTACGGGAGAGGGCAGTGCCCAGGCGAGCTTCGTGAGAAATCAAAGGGGGCGGTTTTTATGAGGAAAAGATACTCCACAAGTGGAAAAAGGGTGACTTCCATTTCGGTGCTATTCTGGTTCTCATGATACCACCTACTCCACGTCTGTGCAGGGAGACAAAGTGCAGAGAGAAAGCAGGAAACAAATGAACTACCACTACCTATGATAATAGATGACTCTCACAGGTGAATGAAAGAAGTCACACCCAAAAAGACTACATACAAATGTATGACTCCAGTTAAATGAAGCCAAAGATCACGCAAAACAGATCTAGGAGGATACAGATCAGAATAACGGTTACCTTTGGGAAAGAGTATTAACAGAGTGCGGAAAAAAGAGGAAAGTTTCTGGGATGGTGGGATTAACTCTATGTTAATCTGAGTGGTGCTTTCGTGAGGATAAATAGTAGAAATCTATTGAGCCATCTAGAAATATCTGTGCACTATAGTGTATATATATTTCCATTAAAAAGTTAAGAAAAAATAGATGCACATGAAACAGTACACATTTTGTGAGAATAAAATGGAATCAGTCTAGAAAAGGGGCTTTGCTGTTCATGTGCCATGAACACATGACTAGGGTTAACTGAGCTCTCTACACCTGAGGACCAATTAAATAAAAAACTTTTTAAGGACATTGTAAGAGGCAGGTAGAACTGTGGCAAATACAATTGGCTCAGTCTACTCCCATTCTCATCCACCTTCTTTCTTGCCACTTGTACAATTAAGTCTAAAAAGGTAAACACTCACTTTCTAGGTGTCCTTGAAGCTACAGAGAGTCAGAAGACATAGTCCAGGCCAATGAGACAAAAACAGATGTCTGCTGTAGTTGGGAGTGGGGCTCTGGGAAAGCTTTTGCTTTCTTTACAAAAGGCGAAATATGACTAGTACTATTCCTCTTTCCCCCAAACATGGTGGATGGAGCTGCAGCAGCCACTTTGCAATCATGAGGCAGCAAATCAACATGCTATGGAGACCCGGATGGAATGAAAGAAGGTAAACAGTCTTTGATAGTCTTTGATTCAGTCTTTGATTCAGCTGCTGGCCAGCCCAAGACTGCCTGCCTTCACACTCACTGTATGAGAAAAGTAACCCCTATTTGTTTAAGTCAACGTTGCTTTACTATTCTATTAGTTGAAGCCAGATTCATTCCTAATGGATGGAGAATTGAACCAATACTAATAGCTACCATTCCTGTTATCTCCCTGTGCCAGGTACTCTGCCAAGCTTTTTATGTATCATGTCCTTCTACCTTCACAAGAACCTGTGGGGCAGGTACTGTGATGATGCCCATTTAAAAGTGGAGGAAAGTGAGGCCTGGGGACGACCACAAAGCTAGTTAGTGGCAGAAATGAGGCTAGAACCCGGGTCCGTGGAACACCAAAGTCCTTGCTGCATTCTGGGGCTTCCCCAAGATCCAGGCCCCCATCTCGGTTTTGCCAAAAACTAAGTGGAGAACCTCAGACAACATGTTTACTCTCCCTTACGCTCAACTTCCTCACCTGTAAGGAGTGTGATGAGGCTCAGATAACATAAAAGCACTTTGTAACGTAAAAGTGTTAAGTATCTCTTCAACATTTTACTCCAGTGTTTATTTCCTTGGCTGGAATACATGGAATGTGAGAGATCAAGTTACCAAGGTCGTTTGGGCTTAAATGCCCTTGGTTTCTGTTGTACCTGGCACCAAATGTAACAACCGAGATTAGCGTGACCTTTCCCTGCCCACCTCCTTGCTTTTCCACTGCACTCACAGAAGCAATATGGACATTTAAAAAGCTGTCAGATGGCAGTGATATTTGATCCACATGATTTGATTTGGAATCAAACCTCCTGAAGAAACAACCGATTCTGCAGGGCTATCGCCAAGGGTGGGGTCTGAGAAAACGCCTCTGAAAGGTGCTCAGGCATGTCAGCCTAGGTCTGAACACCTACTGCTCTGCCACAGCCCAGACGGGCCGTCTGCCAGCATTCTCTGTCTTGTACTCCTTGGCAGTAAAAGTGAGAGCCACGAGATAGCTTCATCTATAAACTTGCCGCTGCAGTGCTTGAGCCAGGGACGAAGCATCCCAGAAATGAGACAGAAAGGGGTTAATCAGCATTCTCACATCCCTGCTCTATCAGTGGCAGCTGCCCTGCAAGGTTTCAGGGTC